GCGAGAATCCGGGTGGCCTAAGAATCCTAATGTGGGGTCTGCTTGATGATTCAGGTCATTGCCAATTGGTACACCTTCCCTTGAGGCTCTCAGATGGACAAATTCCGTGGCCTGTCTCTAAGATGCGCAGTAAATATTTTCCTTCACTGCTGACGGGTCCTAAATCCATTGAATCCATCAGGAAGAATATGAATTTCCAAGGACCGAGCGCTCTTGTCGAGAACTCCAGGCTCACCAAACCCAGTCACAACACCGCAATAACGGATTGTATGCCGGGATCGAATGACATTCTAATCTTCTTGGCGGCTTGGAGGAAGGTCAGAGGCTACGGGTGAGGTTTCTTGTTAAAAAAGTATATATTCATTGGTGTGAAACCTTTGAAGTTCTCTTTCCTCATTCTACATCAGCATTCGAACAATCATCTCATCTCCTCACTTCGCATCTATCTCTCCTCACCTTAGCATTCTTCCCCTTTTCACCAAGAACTATCGCTTTCAGGTTGTCCTCTGCAATCAATCATTCAATATGCATTTCCAAGGCGTTTTCATCAAGACCGTCTCCATTCTGGCCGTTTCTCAAAGTGTTGTCACAGCACTACCAACAGAGGAGATCAATAGCCTCGAGACCCGCGCAAAGGCGACTAAGGTCAAGTGCGATGAAATCAGCAAATACACAGTTCCTGTAAGTGTCACCATCCTTTGTCTCTCCTCTCACCTACTCATATACTCCCAGTACTTCATCTCCAAAACCTGCAAGCGACCAGCAAAGTCCAGCTGCCTCTTCTACACCCGAGGCCTCAGTAAGGCAGCCCGTACTTACTCCAAGGCCGATGGCCACTCCATGACTACTATCTGGGAGATGTGGCCTAGCTCTTGGTACAACAATAACGTCAAGGATACCAAGAACCCCCTCCGCTGTATCATCCAAGATAAGGCCAAGCGTAATACTTACTTCACCAACATGTCCACAGCCATGGCTCAAATGTGCGATATATTCGCCACAGTCATGACCAAGGACATCAACAACGTCCCACAAGACGGCATCTGGGCCAAGGCCGAATTCCCAACTCTTCAAGCAAGTGGTAACCAAGGAAAGGTACTCCAGATTGAGATGATCACTCAAGATGGCAAGCAAACCAAGCACCTCTGGGTTCGAGGCAAGAAAGCTCGTCGTGCTCTTGAGAACAGGCAAGCAACCCCTGAGGAGTTGGAGCAAGAGGAGGAAGTCGAGGAAGAGTTTGAGGAGCTGCCTGTTGAGAAGAGAGATGGTGATGACTTCGATCCGGCTGACCCCAACAACGAGCTTGAGGAGGTTGAGGAGACTGTTGAGAAGAGAGATGGTGATGACTTCGATCCGGCTGACCCCAACAACGAGCTCGAGGAAGTTGAGGAGAGCGTTGAGAAGAGAGATGGCGAAGGGGAGGTTGACCCAGCTGACCCAGAGGAGGAGCTTGAGCCTGTGGAGGAGGAGGTTGAGAAGCGCGCTGCCTCTTGCGGATCTTCAGTTGACGCTGCTGCTTTCGACCAAGGTGGAGCTTATGTTGTTACTTGGTAGATGGGTTGAACATCGTGTCTCTCAAGCATTTCGGTGGCATTTTTGGAGTTGATTTGGCATGGGCAGCGCCCTGGAGTTTGGATAGCATTTTGGAGCATTTGGTTTGCATTGCTGGGCATTGCGGGATTTGTAACATTTTGGAAAATTCCCTTGAAGCATCGGTTTTGGTTTAGGAGGATTAGATTTTCTTGTTCACTACTTTTTGCATACAAATTTCAGAGATACATTACAAGACACACTTATTTACAATAACATTTGTGAACATTTCAACCAAATTTGTGGTGGACAAGAAAATGGGAATCGTTTCAATTCGTAGCAGAAGCAAAATTACTGGATGAATGTAACCCCCCACCGGCAAAAGTCGCTATGAGACATTGTTTTTCGATAATAGTGTTATCCCTTATTCCTCAAGTGCTCGTAATTCCACGTTTCCGTGTCTACCACAAGTCCTCGATAAGCCGGGTTCATACCGATCAATCTTCCGAGCTCAGGCTCTCGACCTTCCTCTACACCCACATCGCGAAAATACCTCCCAAGTAGCAAGCATCACTTTCTATCTTGTTCTTAATGAATTCGACTCCATTGCAAGGAAAATCTCCGTGTAGGTGCTCCAATCCTCCCTTTGTGCACTTCTCAAAAATGTTTGTAGCTCCTTGGCAAATGGGACCCTTCGCCCCGCCTGCTGATCCCCACCTTCCTTCAAAAAAAGCTTACATGGCCCGTCTTGCTCTTGCACCGCGTAGGTCCTGGCCGTTCCTCCTTCCTCGTGCAACATATGAGTAGAAATGCTTGTGACAATGGCGACTGAGGCACAATCTTTTCTTCCTTATCATGAGCCTAACATCGTCACGATCCTCGTTCAATCATCGCTGCTGCTCATCCTCAACGTAGTCAACACCATTTTTGATAGACTGATATTTTGTGGCCTTCTCGGACAAGTTTTTATTGGAGTAGCATGGGGAACTCCTGGTGGGAAATGGCTCGGTCAGGATGCAGAGGATGTCATTGTCCAGTTGGGCTATCTTGGCTTGATTCTTCTAGTGTATGAAGGTCTAAACCCCAGACTCCAAAGCTCTACAATTGCTAATTTATGATATTCAAGGTGGCTTGGATACCAATTTCCACTCTCTCAAGGCAAATTTATTCCTGTCTGTTACTGTAGCTCTGACCGGAGTCGGCTTTCCAATGGCTCTCTCGTTCATCCTACGATCTATGGTCGAGGCCACTCCATTGCAAGCCTTCGCCGCTGGAGCAGCTCTCTGCTCAACAAGTCTTGGGACAACTTTTACCATTCTCAGCACCAGTAGGCTATCTTCAACGCGTCTTGGGACAGTGCTGAGTAGTGCTGCAATGATGGACGACGTGATTGGATTGGTCATGGTACAAGTTATCTCTAATCTTGGAGAATCAGCAGACTCCTTCCGTGCCGTTACGGTTATACGGCCGCTGGCTGCATCACTTGGCCTCGCAATTGCAGTGCCATTGGTTTGCTGGTGCGTTGCTAAACCTTTGACCATATTTCTCAATGGAATGAGGAACTCAAATCCAGACGGAGCTTGGAACAAGTACTGCCAGAGATTGGGTACTTCCTTCACGTTGCACACTCTCATCCTCATTGGCTATATCACGGGCGCTACCTATGCCGGTACTTCTAATTTATTTGCTGCATACCTGGCAGGTGCTTCGATCAGTTGGTGGGACAGTGAAGTTCCACATGTGGAAACGAATGTCCCAAATACTACAGCTCCAGGTCTAGTTCCGAAGTCACCACAAGATAACTCGGACTTAGGAGTGAAACTTGCTGAATCTTCGGCTGGACAGGACAAGTCAGGATCTAGCTCAGAAGGAGAACCCACCAACGATGCAGCAGCTCGCAACAACCAACACGTTGCCGCCTCAAGTACAGGTATTGAAACTTACCACAAATACTATGCTACAGCCGTCCAGCGGATTTTGAAGCCATTCTTCTTCGTAAGATTTTCAAGTGGTTGTCTCTATTCTTTCGCTACCAACACTAACTTTCTACAAGGCGTCAATTGGTTTTGCTATCCCTATAACAGATATGTTTCGAGGTGAAGTGGTTTGGCGAGGAATCGTTTACACAATTCTGATGCTCTTCGCCAAACTTGTTACTGGCCTTTGGCTTATTCGATTGGATATCACTTTACCCAAAACCCGATTACCAAAGAGCGTTCGCGCTCTCGTGACTACACCAGCTTCTTGTTTAAGTTGGATGTATGGAAAGTCAAAGAAGGACAACCAGAATCCTACTCCAGGCTCTGACTCTCATGAACTTCAAAGCCAAGCCAATAGCACATCCAAGGGAACTCAGGAGCAGTCACCACAGCTCAATTCAAGTTCAACTCCCATACAAACAACCGGCACTCCTCCCGCACCACCAAAAATCAAGAAACCACTCTCCTTATACCCAGCAGCAATGCTTGGAACCGCGATGACTGCTCGCGGTGAAATTGGATTCCTGATCGCATCTTTGGCCGAAACAACTGGACTCTTCAAGTCATCCTCTGAACCAAGTAGTGGCAGCTCAGAAATATACTTGGTGGTTACATGGGCTATTGTACTATGCACCATTATTGGACCATTGAGTGTTGGGACACTGGTCAAGAGAGTCAGGAGATTACAGAATGAGAAGGTGGGGAGTTCAGGTACGGGTGATCCACTTGGGATTTGGGGCGTCAATTGAGGGCCAACGCTGGCAAGGGCTCTCCTATGCCCTTTAAGATCTTTAGTATGTTCTGCCTGAAGCCGTACTTCACCTGTTTTGATTTTATTTATGAGAGAACTGTTACAGATCTTAATGTGCATTTCGAAAGGGAAAATTGAAAATGCTACAGTTCTGGCCTCGATAACAAGTCGGAGCATGCAAAGCCAATGATTTGATACTGAGCCCAATACCCTTTCGGCATACTCGCTTCGTGGTAAACAAAAAATTGAAGATGTGCTGCACTTTTTGGGAAATTCCGACATTAGCTAAAATGATAGATATTAAAATTATGAAATGAGATAAACCCTAAACATACACAAAACCCCTTGATACTCTTGTGAGTGTAAGGGGCTATATTCTCTAGTATTGGAATCGCCCTGCAAAGGTTTGTCCTACCCACTAATTCTTGTCCCGGCAAGACCAAAGAACAAGGACAGAAGTTCGCTAGAAAGTTTGTGAAGAAATTCCTCTACCATATCTCCTCGCAGGAGAAAACGCTCGTTATCTCAGTGTATATACGAATAAAAAAGGCAAGCCTTTATCCCTCTTAGTTAATTGTCTTGTTTAGAGAAACATGCTATGATGGCGGGGTCATTCACTCAGTTGTTCCCGATTGCTTCACCTCAACCACCAAAACATGAAGCTAATGGATAAAATTAACCAAAAAGTGAATTAAGATGGTTTCAAGTGTAAAAGAAAGCTCGAGAGCAGTGCTTTCGTTGGGTCTCGCCGGGACTCGAACCCGGGACTAATGTCGTTAGCTTACGGGATGTAACTGGGGGTTAAGGAATAAACGTACCCTCTCGCATGATGTGTACTCAGAGTGCTCCCTAAGCGAGAATCATACCACTAGACCACGAGACCAATACCGAGGTATTTTTTGATAGATTTGTGGATTCGAGGGCGCTTATTTGATAATATATTTAGTGTTGTGCAATGTGCCGAAATAATTGACTAGATCCCGGCTATGACTGGTTGAATTGGCCGCAGGCGAGTTTTGTCCCCACTTTAGTACGTGACTTTCTCATCTCCTGCTATTTGATTTTTGACAGTCACGATCCATATTACAGTAAACGAGAATCTAGGCTACTGAATTTGCCTTTGTTGGACTCATTATAGCTCAAGTATTGACATAGAAATCTAGAAAAGAAACTTGGCAGTGATGGAGAACTCACTGGCTGCGGCCGAACCCCTGATCAAGCTAACCCCAGCATGTGAATCGTGCTTATCTTAGCGCCGAAGCTCCGATAAAGAAACATTCCTGGTCCATTCCAACACCCCATCAAGGACAATGTCCAGCTCAGATCCATCATATACAGTCTTCATCAGGCTTCCTTTTCCTAGAGGGGACTTTGTAGATCCTCCGTCTGTACGTATTTTCTTGCGAATCGGGAATGCAAGCTGATATATTTAGGTGGAATGGGATGCCGGAAAGGACAAGGCTTTGTGGAAGATCCTCTCGAAAGCTTCCAAGAACAGCGATATTGATTGTAAGTATCCAACTAACTTGTTACATGATGGAGCTAACAAACTGCAGGGAGTGAACTGTTGGTCTTCTGCCTCCTCCCTGCGAACAATACTGACTTCCCTAGGGCTGCCAAATTCGAAGTTTCCCTCCCGTTTCTCCTCCAACAGGCAGCATGGCTCTACGAGCGACAACTTCTACAAGTCCGGGCACAAATGAGGAAAGTGGGTGCATCAAAAGGATCTGCCGCACCCTCACCGGTTCCCGGTAGCACATCTGAAAATGCTGGAGGAGAGATGATGAGAAGAACAGGCTCGGGAGGTGGTGGTAATCCAACCGGCCCCATCTCGAATAGGAAGCTCACATATATAGGACCACGAGTATCTTCTGCGTTATCTTCACGAAAGGACTCTCCGCTACCAAGAAACGATGCCAGTATTCCAAGTACTCCCGGGCGAGCGATGGGTATGTCTTTATCTTTCCATTTGATTCCTCTACTGACAGCGGTCTTTCTAGCTCCACCCTTTTCACGAACCTCATCAGCGAACACAACCATCACATCCCGAAATCTCCCACAGACGAGTCCTAGACCTGCACATGCCACGCTACACCGACGTTCCATATCCCCAAGGCCTCCACGCCCAGCTTCCACTGTAGAAGCACCCAGCCGGTCTCCGCTCGTCGACACCCTTTCCTCCCCAGAAGCAAGCTCATCCGAATCATCATCCGACTCAGAACCACCAGCACAAAGCCGACTCATGCGCCGACAACCTCGATTCACATCAAAAAAACAAGGGCAATCAGAGGATGGTGACGAAGATGATGATGAGCCGGCATTCATGCCGTTTGCTTCTACGGAACCAGCCCATCATGATCCGAGCGCTACATTGCGAGGAGACCCGAGACATATAGCGAGGAGAACGCCAACACACAGGAAACAGATGGAGCGTGGTCAGCAGTCGCAGACTTCTGACTCGTCTGCGAGTTCTACGGCTCCTGTTGCGAGACGTCCGGATCCTTTGCATAGAGAGAGTTCGCATAGGCAGATGCTGGCGGGACCGTTGTCGCCGAGACGTACGGCTGAGCTGGCGGGACGAAGCCCGATATCGAAGGGTAAAGGTAGGGAGGGAAGTGATGGTACTCCTAGTATGGGAAGCAGTTTCAGCGATCTTGATGGTATGTCTATTTGTTGTATCTTGAGAATAGCGGAATACTAATTAGTCTTAGATGCTTCGGTGACCCAAAGTGCACTAGAAGAGGCAATGGCTAGTAATATGCAAGCAGGTGGAGGCATGGCAAGCAGAATGTCATCGCTCAGCCATCATATCCGAAGCAAGTATCTTTGAGAAGCTATCATGGAGCAAGATCGTTTAATTTTGGGACAAGGCGTCTGGCAATTGGCAATTGGCAATTGGCATAAGGATGGGTCGGGCATTTGATAGATATTTACTGTATATTACACCTAGCACAGTCTCTGGTTGACACGATAAATTAGCCAACATGTCCACCACACATCCGTTTTCTTACTCAAGTTCTTGAGACTAAACCAGAGAGAAAACCAGAGAGAAGTGATTTGGAAGTGCTTCGTCGAAGGCAATGCTATATTTTCATCTACGGAGTATAGTGACTCATGGAAAATTCCGAGGAAGAATAATCAGACGAAAGGATTCCCAAAAGGGGAAGTGGCCAGAAGAGCTCACAGTGAGATAGATTTTCGAGTCGAGAGTTTTATTTTGGCTGTCTCGTCTGATGTTTTCCCGAGAACGATAGCCACCTTCGATATAATTACCTCTCGTCTTCTAATGCATCTTGTCAAGTCAATTGATGCTGCACACTCGCGATTCTATGAGACCTCCAAATTGGTTAATTTTTTGGGGGGGATTTTTCATCTCTGTATACTTAATTACCCGAAAACCTTTCCCTAGATCCTGATATAAATTTGCTCGCTCCCAAAAAAACACACTGATAGTCCTGATAGATAGTTTTGTCTCTGTCGTAACTTAGAACCAAATCGTCCAGATGTAGCAAATACCCAATTTCCAATTTCAAATCCCAGCTCCGATCGCAAATCGCACTAAGTATTTCAATTTCGCTCCTTCCTCCCTAGTTAGTTAATGATTTTGTATATGAAGAATATAAAACGGATAGAACAAGGACAATTCCAATGTTGTAGCTTTCCGTTTGGTGGTCGTGTTTTTGTAATTTTCGTTTTACCACACTTGCTCCTTAGCATGAGGAGGTTTATACTTATCATTGGCCGTGGCGGTAGCCATATCCGGCCATGAAGTATCGGTGCCGACTGCTTGTTCCCATCCAGCCTTATTCTCCTCAGTCGATGGTTCCGCCCCGTCGACTTTCGCGTCGTTTCCCCAATCAGATGCTCCTCCCCATCCTACTTCACCGTTACCGGTGCCAGTTCCCCAGCCAGATCCGCCAGTACCCGGAGCTCCCCAATCTCCACCAGTGCCGCCAACTCCCCAGTCATTGGCAGCAGTGGCGTTGCCTTGTCCCCAGCTTGCATCGGTCGTTTTCCAATCATCAGCGCCACCCGTTGCCGGAACGCCTACGCCAGTGCCAGTTCCCAAATCCGGAGTGACATTCTCTTTGCCATCGCCACTACCACCAGCACTCTTCTTCCCCTCCCACCAACTGCTACTCCCAATATCTTTCCCCTTCCCAGCAGCCTCCCACCGACTCCAATCACTCGAACCCTTCTTGCCCCATTGTCCGGGGCTCGGAGCTATACCATTCTCACCCCAAGAATGCAAGAACTTACACTCGTCGGACGTGTACTGACACTTCCCGCCCTGTGCCCAGTAGTGACAGGTCTTGCCCAATTTCTTGCCGTAGTTCCTGTCATTGCTTTCAACGTTCGTCCAGCTGTCCTCGCCTCCAGTGTTTCGAGCATCTCCAGTTCCAGTTCCAAAACCAGGTGGTGTCTTGGTTGCTGGGGGATCGAGATAGTCGGCCAGCGCGGCCCAAGTTGGTTTTCCGTCTCGAAGATTGGCAGCGTCGCCGGATGAGAAGGGGGTGTGTTCGTGGAGATCACGGCATTCTTCGGCAGTGAAGCGGCAGTCTTTGTTTGGGGTGGCCCAGAACCAGCATGTGACGGACTTGGGGACGACTTTGCGGAGAGGCTCTTTCAATGGTTCTTTGGAGCAGTTGCGAGGGCCGGATGGGGCTTTGATGGTGTTTACCGGGGTAGGGGGAGTGATGCCTTGCCGTTTGAGAATTTGATTGAACTGTTTACTTTGTTAGCGAGAACTTTTGGAAAGGAGCGAGGAGAAGACTTGCCTTCTCATCAACGATCTTATCGACTTGCTCACGAGTCATGTGGTGCACGAACTCCTGATCACTGCCACTCCCCTCGCCCTCATCAGCCAAAACTGCAAATCTGCTCGTCGCCAACCCGTTCTTCACAGCAGGACGACTTGGAGTTGGCTCTGCACGTCGTCGTGGTCGGGTAACCATAGGGACATCATCCCACTCCGCAGCGTTCATCCCCTCCACCCTATCCAAACCCGTCGAGTAAGTCGTGCTCACACTCCCATTCCTCAAATGTACCGGACTAGGAACAGCTTTCTGAGCAGCCAAATTCTGCTGATAGGTGATCAAATCCGCAGGACTTCCGTTAACTCTCGGATTCTTGAAGACCGATTCTTGAACTTGACCTGTCTTCTTGGTACGATTGTTCTTCCCAAAATACAAAGTACCCGAGACGTGTTTGAGTATAGAAATTTGATCGCCAGCTTCAACCTCCATGCCAAGCGGGTGTGAGGCACGGAAGTTATTCTGCGCGACAGCAGTGATACCCGGAACGAGCTTCACCTCCTCTAAAGCACCTCCAAGACGTTCGATCACACTTGCAATACCACTGGACCGAACGGTCTTAGTAGTCTTGATGGAAATTCTCGAATCAGGTCGTTTGGGTGGTCTGATATGTGGAGGTTTGAATTGTGGATTATTTGGTTGTAGAACATCGTTCAATGCTTTGGGGAGTCGACCATGCTGGCGGGCGAATCCTTCAACGAGAACAACGCGGGGGTCGGTAGGGACGGGAGCGTTCCAAGAGCTGTTTCTGGGGGATGCTTGTTCGATTCCGGTGACTTGGGAGTTTACCTCTGAAGCCCAGGAATGGATACGATTGGCTTTCTCGACGTGGGCGATCGAGGAAGAGCCTTGTGGTTCGTGAGCCTCGACTTCCTGGGGTGGAGAGTCTTCGGGCTGGTAATTGTCGTTTTCGCAGTTGTCGTTCGCATAGTCGTCCTCGTAGGATTCATTCTTGTACTTCGGCTTGGATTTCTGGCCAGCCTTGGTCAAGCTTGCATTGAACGCCTTGATTTCATCGAGTTGAGCTTGTGTGTATCCAAGCGCCAATCCTCCATTTTGAGGAATTTTG